AAAAAAAACTAAAGCAGATGAACTCAGATAAGTTGCAGTGCAAATCTTTGCATTTACATTATTGAAATCATTGTATATATTATTTCCCTGGTTTTGCTTACTTCATAAGTCTTCCTGTGTAAAATCGATTTTATATTACAAAATACTAAAGAAATTGTTTCACTCTCTGCAAATGTTTATTGCCAACAAGAGCTGCACAGTTCTTTGTCTTAGGAACAAGTTTGAGTTTAATAGATCTTTTAAGACTGCTCTAGAAGCAGTGCAAGCAATCCTTCTAGTTTCCTCAGCCCTGAAGGAAGGAGGGAATGTTAGATCCCTGGTTTTTTTGTTCTTGTTATCTTTGTTTACTCAGATTTTAGATGATAGCACAGGACTATAAGCTATATCTAATTAATGATTTCCAAAGGTTATGTATTTCTATGTTAAAGTCTCCTAGATACATTAGGTACATTCCTCAAAGTTAGCTGTAATAAGGTTCGTTTCAATTAAAAAAAAAAGCTACTTTATCTAATTAAAATTTAATGGCTTTCCTATGTATTATACCTCATTAAGTATTTTGTGTTTGCTTGTTCTAGGTTGGAGATAGAGCTGATTCAAATCTTTATGTAAGTATGAAGCTAAAAGCTGCTGAGGAGGTAAAATCTACTCTGGTACTGCTAGCTAGCACAGTAATCCCATCAACACTTCTCTCCCTTCTCCGCCAATTAAAATTATCATGCCTTTATCCTAATTAGACTTGTATTGCAAATTATAAATACGTGGCTTCTAACTAGAGCCTCTGTCTTTTATCTACTTGCTTTTCTTCTTAAACAGAAAGCTAGCATGGAAAAATTAAAGGAACACAATAAATCTGAAATATTGTGGGGAAATAAATGGGTAATTGTATGGCAGCGGTTCTCAAACTTTTTGGTCGCATGATCTTTTTACCCTCTTAAAAATTATTGAGGACCCCACCTGAAGAGCTTATAGACTATATCCTATCATTGTTGACCATATTAGGAGTTAAAAGTGTTAGTATTATTATGAAAATAGTTTTAACTTTGTGGACTGCTTGAAAGTGCCGGGTACTCCCAAGGATCGGTCTGTCACTTTCAGAATCACTGGAATGCTACAAATTCCTTTAGAACATAGGAATTTAATGCAAACAATACCTTTTAACCTGTATCTAGTCATAATTACCCAAGAAATACCTCTCTCAGTCCTCCCACTTTTCTAGCTAATTAGATCATTAAACATGTTTTACATTTTCATTCTTACAGATTGGAATCAGAGCCACACATTAAATTACCAAGAAACTCAACTGAGGCAGAGGTAAGCTGTTGGGTTCATGTGGAACAAACCTTCTTATGGTTCCATATCATGGTTATGATTTGTGACATTTTCAGGGCTAAGGGGTTTGTGTGTGATAGGTACATACCTTGCCCCATATTCAAGGCTGCTTACTTCAAGGGAAGAGACCCAGAATAAATGGTGTAATCCTGTGATGCAGGTGATTCAACACACATCTATTAAGTGTGTGCTGTGTTTAGAGCATTGTGCTAGTAACTAAGGGAAATACAAAGAATAAATACCTGACCCCTGTCCTCATAGAGCATACAGTCATCACATAAAATAACTCAAATACATAAGAAGAGGTACAGATAACCTAGTTCTACATAAGAGGTTCTACATATGAAATTACATAAAAAGTTTAATATCTATATTGAATCCATTGTTTCTTATAAATCTCCTTTCCTTTACTCTCAAGGGGTAAATTCTATAATCAGACCTTCATATGTGGAGTATGGAATGTCTTCCTAATTGCTGTCCCAGCTTCTATTCTTTTTCCCCTCTCTCATTCATCCCCAGCACAAGTGCCAAAATTACCTTCCTCAAACACAGGTCACTTCCCTACTCAACAAACCTGTTTTGTCTCTAAAATAAAATACAAACTTCTGTTTGGAATTTAAAGCACTTAGCTGACTTTTCCAGGCTGGTTTGATATTCCTGCCTTCATCTCGTCTCCATTCTAGCCAGACTGGCCTGCTGTCCTATTCCTCATCCATGACATTCCGTCCCATCTCCGTACCTTTGCACAGGCTGACCCTCAGGCCTTGAATCCATTTCCTCCTCTCCTCACCTCTACCTTTTGAATCCCTAATTCCCTTTAAAGCTCAGCCCAAATGCCGTTCCCTAGATGAGGCCTTTTCTGATCATCCTGGCTGCTAATAACCCCCCTCCCAAAAAAATTTACCTTGTGTCTGTTTTATGTATTTATATGTATATTTGTTGTCTCCTTCTATAGAAAGAAAACTCTCAGGGCAGAAACGATGTCATTTTTGCCTTTACAAACTTTCTTTTAGTAGATTTTTTGATTGTTGGTAGTAGGTACTTAATAAATGCTTATTCAACTGACTTGTGAACAAAAGCATTCCATTAATAAGAAATAAAAATAAGCTCATAACAGGGCCCTAAATGGCTGAGTAAGAAGGAAGGCCGAGAAGCAGAGCAACGTACTGATCAGAGAACCAACCTCAGTGTCAGGAAGACCTGGGTTCAAGTGTTATCTCTGATGCATTAACTGTGTGCCCTTGGACAAGTTACTTAACTTCTCAGTGTCCCAGACATCTCTCTAGAACTATAAAGTGCAGAAGTTGCATTCTTCTATCTAACTATCTGCATTGGTAGGAGCTTCTTCACTGAGAATGCCTTACAACAATGAAATCACAGATCTAGACCATTTATCCCCAGCGGTTCCCATGCCACCTCTCCCACCCACTGCCTGCAAACCTTTCTTTAACTACTACCTCAACATACCTCTCTAGTATCTAGAGGTATTATTGGGAGGTGTTTTGGTCTAACAGGAAAGTTATATGCAGGACCTATATGATAGTGGGTTTTTTCTTTGAACTCTCTGAACTAAAACTCTTAGAGGGGAAATGAGGTTGGATATGTTTTGCCTTACAATAGTCTCCATTCCTACCCTCTACCTTCTTTAACTTGTAAAATTTGTTTTTAGGTTTTAAAGTGCATCACATCTTTGAATGAAGACCCTACTGTACATGGACTCCTGGTCCAGTTACCTTTGGATGCCGAAAAGACCATTAGCACTGAGCTGGTGACAAATACCATCGCTCTTGAAAAGGATGTGGATGGGTGTGTTTGACTTTTTGAGTCACTTCATTTAAAGCTGTTGTATCTTTAAAACATGTATTGGTAACTCAGGGAAGCTCCATACCAATGTTTAAATTGCCTTGTTCTCACTCATTCTGCCTTTAATTTAATGTTTCAGTTTGACTAGCGTCAGTGCTGGGAAGCTTGCTAGAGGTGACTTAGAGGATTGTTTCATTCCCTGTACACCTAAAGGATGCTTGGAACTTATCAAAAAGACAGGTAAGGCTAGTTTTTCAGAGCCTCCCCTTTTTTTATCGTCTTTTATTAATGTTTATACTTTCTATTCATTGATTCCACGTAAGACAGCATGCATTAATTTAAGGACCTTTTCTGTACTGGGTACTGCTGGAGAGCTTACAAAGTTTATATAAAAAACATGCTTCCTCAAGCTTGTATGTATCATAACCATTGGAAATCTGTTTGTTTATGACAAATTAAAATTCTTTGTTTTAATCTTTTAGAGTAATGGATTTTTTTATTTAGTTATCTGTAATTTTTTTTATTGGCTTTACATTCATTCATCAGTTAGTCACCAAGCATTTATTAAGTACTTATTACATGTCAGACACTGTGCTAAGGGTTGGGTAATACAGAGAAAGGCAAGAAATTGTTCCTGGCCTTATGAAACTTACATTCTAAAGGGAGAGTCAACATGTAAATAGCTAGATACATATAGATACATATACAGAACAAATGGAAGGTAATTTTTTTAAATAATATTTTATTTTTTTCCCAGTTTACATGTAAAAACAATTTTTAGCATTCATTTTTTGAGTGCCATATCCTCTTCCTTCATCTCTTCCCCCACCCCAGACAGTAAGCAGTTGATATAGGTTATACATATGTAATCATACAAAACATATTTCCATATTTATCACAACTTTTAATATTTAGGTTGCATATCCATTTTGAGCTCTTTGTATATGGCTTAAGATATTAATTTCTAATTTAGTTGATTCTAATTTCTCTTATCGTACTTTGCAATTTTCCCATTAATTCTTGTTAAATAGAGAGTTCTTGCCCATGCAATGTATAATTTCAGGTTTATCAAGCACTGTGGGTTATTGAGTTTGATGTTTCTGAGACAAAATAGTGTACTATATAGCGAGCTAGACTTGGAGTCAGGAAAACTCATTTCAGATCTTGCCTCCATCACTTACTAACTCTCAGCCTCACTTTTCTCAGCTGTAACTTGTGGATAATAATAGCACCTACCTCTTAGGATTGTTGTGAGGATCAGATCAGATACTATATGTGAAGCACTTTGCAAACCTTAAAGCACTATAGATATATAATGCTTGTATTTATAAGCTACTGTTCTTATCTAATCTATTCCACTGATCTGTTTGGTTTTTTTTTAAGTATCAAATAGTTTCTTTATGATTACTGCTTATTGTAATTAATTTGTCTAGTTTCATAAAGAAGTACATTGGAAACAGAAGTAATTTTGTTTCCTCTTTACCTATGTTTATACCTTTAATATTTTTCTCTGATCTTTTTGTGAGTGCTAGCATTTCTAAAACTATGAAATGAAAGGAATCAGAAAGGGAGTATCCTTGACTTACTCTTGCATTTATGGGGAAAGCTTCAGGTATTTCTCCATTGCAAATACTTTGGTTTTAGCTATGTGCTTTTGTGGTATTCAGAAAACTGCCCTTCGTATATATTTTTAAAACTTATTGCTGAAAATGCTTTAGCCTTGCATACACTTTCCTATAAATCAAATGTTATATGTATAAGAAGTTATTTACTATTTAAAGAAGTTGGTGCAGTCATATCTTATATGGCAAGTTTTATTTGACCAGCTTTTTTTCCCCAAGTGTAAGTGGTGCTTGGTTGTAACTGGCAACAAAAACTCAAGTCTTATTGCCATTTATCTTTTAGGACATTAATTTTTTCTTCCTTACCTGTAGTTTCATTGATGTAGAGAAATTCTGGTGAGGAAACTCCCTGCTCCTGATGCAACATTTCTGCAGCTCAATAGTCTTGGTTTCCAGGGTCACAGAGAGATTAAGTGATTTATCCAGAATCAGACAGCTAGTATGTATTTGAGGTTGGATTTGAACCCAGATTTTCCTTACTCCAAAGTTAGTTTTCAGTCTGCTAAGCTGACTCTAATACTTAAATTTCCTGTCTAAAATTAATTTACTGTTAATTAGAGAAGCATAACATAAATTGCACATGAAATAGGTCAGCTGTTAGTTACCTAATGTATTGATTGAGTAATGCAGGTCACTTACACCTGAATCATGCTTTGAAACCCCTTTTCTAAATATTACAGTGTGTGAGAATGTCTTTTATGTTTCTATTTCAAAATATCTCCTCTGGTTTGGCCTATCAGAAATTCTTGGAGATACTCTTATTTCATGGATGGTCCATTTTTCCCCCAAAGGATTATACTTTGTTTAGCCAAATATTTTATTCTTGATTGTAAGCCTTTGTCTTTTATATTTTGGAATATCATTCCAAACTCATTTCTTCTGCAAAGTGGCAGGTGCCAAATCTTGTATGATCTTGACTTTGGCTCCTTGGTATTTGAACTCTATCTTTTGGCCATTTGGTGATTTTTTGGTGATTGGTAGATTCTTTCTCTTTCCACTTTGCTTTCTGGTTTTAAGAATTCTGGGCAGTTTTCATTTATAATTTCTTGATATACGGTAGCAAGACTTTTTTGTTGGAGAGATAGTGTCATGATTTTTCAGAAAGTTTGATAATTTTAGATTAGCTTTCTTTGACCTATTTGCCCAGTCAATTGTTATGATATTCAATTTTTTTTCTTTTTTTTTACTTTGGTTTTTTTTCCACTCATTTTGTGGTTTTGTTTTAATTTTTCTTGTTTCATTGAGTCATTTTCTGTTTGATGTTTTCTAATTTTCATGGTATTTAGTTCTTAGAAAAGGTTTTCCATCATGTCTTCTAAGGGGTTGATGCCTTATTTGTTGTAAGGTTGCTCACTTCCTTGGGTTTAACACCCCACCTTGTGTCTCTGTCCAAGGTATTTC